AGTTTCTTTCTCCCTTCTTTTCTTTCTCTTCCTCTCTCTCTCTTTATCTTTCTTTTTCTCTTCTTCTTCTTTTTCTTTTTCATGAGACAGAGAGAAAAACAGGCACCCTTAACAGAATCTCATCGTGCTACAATCATCCTCCTCCAACTTTCAGCTCCTCGGGATCATGGGTGCACACCCAGTGTAAAAATGACACAAACCAGGGCCAGCAGCTGACATGGAGGTTGGGGTGCTGGACTCCCACATGGCTGACTGAATTTTGAGTCCTGGACCAGGTGACTTGCTTTCTTGCTTTCTCTTTCTCTCTCTCTCTCTGGTCACATTAAAAACTAATAATAAATGGAATTAAATAAATAGATAATTCTTAAAGAAAAAAAAGAAAAACTAAAATACCAATTTCTTGATAAGGTCATTGTGCCACGGAGGAAACATCACTGAAAGGTACACAATGAGTGAAGCAGTTGGTTTGGATTTTCTATTGTTTGCCACGTGGAGTCTTAAGTGGTGCTTACACTACAAAAGTACTTGATCACACTTTTTTTTCTCATCCCCACACTTGTGTCAGTAGGGTAACTTCCAAGGTATGATTCCCAACATTGTGGAAGAAGACATGTTTTGCACTGCACTCCTGAAAAGGAGCAGTGGAAATAACTGGGATAGGCTTTGAAAACCTCAGCCGCTTTCTATTCTGATTCCTGACTTAGCCAGAAAACAGCATCTGATAAGAACAGTTCAATGTGAACCAACAGTTTTGGAATACCTTCAAGGATATTGCAACTTGATTGTTGTCATTCTCCCAAGATAAGTAAGGAGTTGTCGAATTGGCAAAGATCATTGAAGCCTTTTTATCTTATATAGCTATTTGCCTCCTGGAGAGAAATCTTTTTCAGGTCACTTATGGAATAGAAAGCATGTATTTACTTGAAAGTCTGCTGTAATGTTGAATGTTGACTCTTGGTCCCATTTTCCATTTAAAGGATTTTGATACTGCATAAGCAGAACTTGGGGGCAGGGCGAGTATGTAGATGTCTGATAGCAGCAGTGTGGGTGACTTTCGTAGTCGGGATACTGCTCCAACAAAGGCAAAGTCACAGAGGCCTAAATGGGAAGGTGTCTCTTTAATATCTCAAATGCAGTCCATGAGTAAGCACTCCTGGTGTGGCTCCTCCATGGTGTTGGACAAACAAGCTCCTTTGACATTGTTTCCCTGTCAAACTTAGCATGTGGCTTCTACCCCCTGGTGGTTCTAACTCCTTCCATCAAGACCACACCCCTGCCAGGAGAAGAGATGAAGAGGGAGAAGGGCATGTCCGTTCTCTTCCAGGCACGCCCTGGACGTTACACACATCATTTCTGCTCCTGTCTCTTTGCCCAGAACTTAGTTTCATGGCCACACAGCTGTAAGGGAGGTCAGCAAATGTTATCTTCAGTTGTGGGGAGGGGTGGTTCTGCTAAAACTTGGGGCTTTGACTATGAATAGTGAAGGAGAGACTGTATTACCAGCAGCAGCAATCTCTGCCGTAATGGTTTATTTTTCCATAGTTGTTTTATATTCCCAGTCTGTTCATTCAAATATCTTGGCTGGATCTGAGTCTGGTTAGGACACTTGATTTGTCTCTTCAAATTGTGTTTTCTGCCTTTTAACATGATTTGTAATTTTTTTTGTCAAAAGCTATTCACAATTTATGCAGAAAAATTATGATGTAGGAAGTTGGAGTGTGTGGACCAAGCATCCAATACTGGAAGAGCAGCAAACCTGATTCTTTTTTTTTTTTTTGAGAGGTTTTTGCTATAGGGTGCATGTGCTCGCCAGAAAGACAGAAACAGAGAGACAGAAAGTGTTCATATAATTTTTATGTGTCATAGATATACATGTTATACATACCAGCATACTACAATCTATATTTAATAGTAATTACATACACATACACACACACACACACACAATGTCTTAGTATTTATGTATATATTAAAAATGTTATGTGATATATTGTGGCCTTAGAGAATTATACTCTGAGGGCTTGCTCACATTGATGTAAGTAAATTATGATGCAGGAAGTTGGGATACATGGGCCCAACTCCCAATGCTTGAACAGCACTGACCCTGATTCTTGTCTCTTGCCTATGAAAAATTAGAGACGTGGACATAGAGAAGAATTAGTAGAGTGTTTGTTAATGAGGGAAAATATATCAGAGCTCCCAAGCAGGGTTCGGGTCCCTGAAAATGGGTTCCTGGTGAAAAACTGAGGCAAGGCATTTTTATCTGTGTCAGAAGGCCTTTGTTTGGACTTCTTGTTTTTTTTTTTTCTTTTCTTTAGACATGTTCAGTCTCTCTGAGAAGCTGACTTTATGTGAAGACGTAAGTGACTTACAGAAGGACTCGCTAGCATATTGAGGAGAAATACCAGCTCATTGACAATGTTAGTGGTGTTCAAAAGGCGATTCAGGACATGAGTTGCTTGCAGGGAGTGAGTTGGCTGCAGGAAGTGCTGCTATAGGAATGGGGAAGTTGAGCTGCAAGATATAAAATCCTAGGTCCTTTAGGTTCAGATCTCTAAGAGACCTGTCCTGAAATGCAGAATAATAAACTGATAACACATGTAAGATAAGAAAAGTTTCAATAGAAAAGCAAAGATTTCTAATAGGAAGGAAATACACCTCCATTACTGAAAGGCCTGTGGATAGACAGTTACCAGGGAAGGACAACCACACTGGACATGAGGTTAGGTGTTACTTTTATCCCCGGATTGGTAATGAATATTTAGCTGGGGGGTGGGGAGTGTCTGTCATCGCATCTGGCATCTTTGTTTGGTTTCCTAGGCCTTTTCCTGCACTTGCACATCTCTTTCAGGTAAGGAATTTAGTTATCTCATCACATAGGCCCAGGGTGGTCTTCGAAGGAATGAGCATCCATATCTGGATGCACTGCCTGGATGGTAACTTAGTGTCCCCTCCCAGTGGTGAATTTCTGTCTGTGTGTGTATCTGGGACAGCAGAAGAAAGAGAACTTTCCTGGTGTCAAGAGCCAGGCAGGAAGGGTGGGAGGAAGGAATCTTGAAGAGGGTCTGGTTGCATTTCCTGATAGGCTGTGAATGATCAAGCAAGTTGTACCACCGCTCTGGTTGTAAGGAACTCTGTGTAAGTGAGCAGTCAGAGTGAATTCTTATCTCTAGGGAGAGCAGTGAACTAACCTTTCTGGAAAGTTTGACCAGAGTGACTATATTTTATAAGTTGGCTCTAGCTTAATAAATGTGTGTGCTCGTTTCTTATCATAGTGACTCTTCCCTTGGAAATCCTTACCCTATTTATCTGTTCACCTGATCTAATTTCTGTCTCACAATGTATTAAGTAAAAGAAACTGAGGTAAACAGGCCTTTAGTGTGAGACTTCATTTTTATCTATCTGAGTATCAGGCTGTGTTTACTGTTTACTACAGTTGTCAATGACAGAGGCTAAAATTCCTTCTGGTGTCTTTATTTTAGTCTCCCTTGTTATCTTTGGCTTTCCTCTGAGACTTCTTAAATAGAGAATTAGACATTTAGTTCTCTCAGTTATATTTTTCTATTATCCTATAGGAGCCCCATTATGTGGTGGTAAGGAGTGGAGGGAAGAGAAAAATCATAGGACCATGGATATCCTATGATTAGGTCTCATTCTTTTAGATTTTGTCCATGAACACACACATGCCCAGTATGATTGTCAAGCCACTGGTTCTGGTATTTTTAACTGCACAGTTAGCCATGTGGGATCCAGTGTCTTAATCTCCACCCTATTTGTCAGCCCACTGACTCTGCTGTTTTATTTTTAAAATTACTTTACCTAATTTTATTTATTTATTTATTTATTTATTTATTTATTTATTTATTTTTAATTTGACCAGAGAGGGAGAGAGAGAGAAAGAGATAGAGAAAATGAGAAAGCAAGCTGCCAGGTCTGGGATTCAAACCACAGTTGGCCATGTATGAGTCCAGCACCCTTAACCACCACGCCACCTGCTGGCCCCCTGACTCTACATTTTT